CCACCCCCCACCCCCCATGCTTCTGCCTGGTAGCCTGCTGACTCCGGATTGAATTCTTCAAAAAACGTGGGTCAAAATAAATCTCCCTTCCCTTAAGCCGTGGGCTTTGGGTGTCCTGCTTGGTGATGGAAAAGTGAGTAATAGAGCAGTCACCAGCACCGTTCATCTCCACACTCTTCCTCGCCCTCTGCTGCAACTCTACACATTAAACTCTGGCTCCTTCGTCCCCCTCCCAGCCCCTGGCAACCTCCACTCAACTCTCAGATTCTGTGGATCTGATTTCTCCAGGGGCCTCTCGTAAGCATTTGTCCTTTTGTGCCGGGCTTGTTTGGCTTAGCATAGTTTTCTCAAAGTTTGTCCACATTGTACCATGTGCTAGAATTTCCTTCCTTTTAGAGGCTGAGTGATTATCCACTGTGTGCCCAGACCACATTCTGCTTTTCCACGCATGAGTTGAGGGACACAGTCTGTTCCCCTGCCTCAGAGTTGGCCTTGATTACTTGCACTCCACTCAGCTGGCGTCTAGGGCTAATGAGATTTGGGTGAGCCCCCGACTCCATGAGATCAGGGAGGGCACATGCAGGAATCACTGCGTGCATAAAAACACTTCATTATGCTAAGTAACTAACGCATGCTTGTGGGAAGAAATTGGGAAAATGTAGAAAAGTGTCAAGATGAAGTAAAAATTGCCTGTAACCAGGTGACCTATACACACAATGGGAAGGAAAGCGGAGGGAAAGGAGCGAGAGGGTAATGACAGCTCTCTGAGAGGGAGCTGACTGTGGCGTTTCCTTTGCAGAGGAGCAGCTTGGAAAAAGCCCGTCGAGGGCCAGAGACCCCAGGCCCACCGGGACCACAGAAGCTGCTGTGGCCAGGCTGGGTGGGCGCCGCACGATTTTCAGGGCCTTCAGTTCACACACAGGTAAAGCCTGGAGAGCTCCAGGTGGGGCGGGCGGGGCAGCAGCAGCCCCAGGGGGCTGAGTCCGGGGCAGCTCCCCAGGCCTGGTCCCTCTGTCTTACCCCATGGGTGTTATTCTGAGAGAGCGTTCAAGAGCAGCCCCACTAGGAATCCCTGGTTTTCTCCGCCTGCCAGCTGAGATGTTTTGGGCCGGGCAGGAAGCAGACACCTCTCAGAGAGCTGGGACAAAGTAGGGAAGCCTGGGACAGGACGGGTGAGGCGTTGTGTGGGACCCGGGTAAGGGCCTGGTGGCCAGGACAATACTCTCCCAAGTGAGCAGGGAGGGAAATGGCTCGGGATAAGCCCTGTGCACGTGCCCTGCCCAACAGTGGCACAAACTGTCACTGTTCAGTGCAGCTGGGTCATGGTGAAGTGATAACCCCAGCAGCAGCTGCCTGGCCCCTGGCCAGTCCCTGTGCAGCTCAGAGCGTCCTGCCTGGCAAGGAGCGGTCCTGAGTCCCCTGTGCTGTTCCAGGTAGGAGGTAGCGAGCTGTGTGTCCCGTTGCTCGGGTAAGATCAAATCCCAGTGGAGCAGAGCGACTCGGCCAGGGTCCAAAGCCACACTGCAAACCCTAGGCCAGTGCTGTCCCAGAGTGCGGAGCAGAGGGACGTGATGGGACTGGGTGTGCAGGGGGACCCCTGGGTTTCTGGACTGAGGGGTCAGGACAGAGGTTGTGGAAGGATGAGAATGACCAGAAGTAGCTTCATGACTCCATTAACAATAACTCTGATGTTTTTCTCTATGTGATAGTTTGCTTTTTTTTTTTTCCAGTACTGGGAATCCAGGGCTCCCACTGAGCTGTATCCCCAGCCCTTTATGCATTTTTCTTAATTTTTGAGACAGTGTCTTGCTAAGTCACTAAGTTTCCCAGTCTGGGCTTGAATTTGTGATCCTCCTGCCTCCTCAAGTGCTAGGTTTCCCAGATTGGCTTACATCTTTAAAGCACTCTTTTACCTATATCCTTTTTCTTTAGAAGTTGTGGTGAAAATATGCATACAATGTACCACAGAGGCCCTAACTATTGCATATAAAGCATTGTGCAATCATCACACTACCAGGTTCCAGAACATCTCATCATTCCTAAGGGAAATCCTGGACCTGTGGTCCGTACCAAGAGTCAGAGTTCTGCTTCTGGGCTGTAATATACACAGTACGTCTGAGCAGAAGACATTCCGCATTCTATTCTCCTAAGAAGAGGGTCTTTCTCTTTCTTTCTCTTTCTCCCTCTCCCTCTTCTTCTTCCTCTACCCATCTCTTTTTCTTCCTTGATGGGGTCTTTGTAGCCCAGGCTAGCTTTGAACCTGCAGCAATCCTCCTGTCTCGGCTTCCCAAGTGCTAGGATTGCAGGCAGAAGCCACCATGCCCAGCTAAGTTTTTTTTTTTTAAGAAAAGAAAAAAAGGCTAGTTTGAATGTGTAAACTTCT